GGCACCAATACACAAATTAACTTCCCGGCACATACTAACCTCTTTATGTTATATGCATACACACGTTCTCCAAATGTCCCTGCCCCTCAGACTGACTGCAATTGCCAAGTCAGTTGGAGGACAACAGTTTTGCCGCAGTTACATCAAAGTTCAGATAAACCTAAGGAGGCATCATTTATGTAAAAACTTACATTGTATTTTTACTCTACCACATAGATGATAACAAAAATAAAATAAAACAGAGGATAAAAGTCTCTTTTGTATCTCATGGTCTACTTAGGTAACGTACTGCTAAAACTAACAAGGTTACAGACGCACTCATAGCAGCAGCCATTAAGAAACCTACTGAAGAGTTTACATTGGTATGAAGAACTTCCCATATTAGAGGAAAGCAGTGATGGTGTGTTTGCCTTCTGAAAACATTTTCATCACTTCTGCCAAGGTTTTTCTCCCAAAGGTGTGCAGGCACCTCCTGGAGGAAGGCCTCTCACGCTTCAGCTATTGACTTGAGCTCACTTAACTTCAGGTCTCGAGCCCAACTCCCAATAAGGAAATAACTTAAAGGGACAAGGACTGTTCTTTCAGAACTACAAACAAAAGACTTCTAAACTATTTTTAAAAAGGGAGTATGTTCTTTCATTGCCACCAGAAAAAACATAATAAATCTGTCTTACTGAACAGTTACTCCTAAGAAATAGTTTTGTAGCTTAGCCCTTAAGTGTATTTGAAAACTACTTCCAAAATTGGCTTCATCGTGAGGAAAAGAACAGTCTAGGAATTCTTTTAATATTGAAAAGCCATTTAGTTATTAAGTTACCAATCAGAAAATTAGTGATTTTTTTTAAAGAATAAAATTTTCTGTTATGAATTCATTAATTGAGAAAATACATATGGAATGTCAGTGTAAGATAAATGAGGTATTCATATGTATCCAATATCAATTGTGGGAAATAAAGGAGAAAACCCTACCCAGCTTCTCCATTCTTCAGACTGGTGTTCAAGTAATGCTGGGTATTTTTCCTCCTAAATGGGTAAGTATTTAAATAGATAAATCTTACAAATGGAATTTCTTTCCAGACTTGACACTGTTTCATACTAGGCTCATTAAAAAACAAAACCAAATAAAAAAAACGACCCTCCCCCCATAACAACCCAAAACGTACAGTTCTGATTTTTGGTCATTTACACATACCCACTTGCAAAAGTCTTTTTAAACAGATATTCTGCTGCCTTTTATTAGGTAGAGTGAAGGTGGGGACAGAAATGGTTGAGTTAAATATGAGTATTATCTGTATCAAAGCCCAAGTATCTCTTTCAGACCTTGCAAAGAAACTGAAACTGGGAGCATTACTTCTAATGGAATAATTTGCTGAGTAATAATTGCAGGAATCACTGCTATTTAGTGTGCAATACTATTGATGTTAATCTTTTATAAGAGCATGTGAAATAGCAAAAGATGCATCTTTAATTTGCATTTTTTAAGACCCTAATATATGACAGACATTGTCTCTCTGGGTGGTTTCAGCACAGAAGGCTGAGCACCTTCCCAAGAAACACCGCTGATTTCTAGTGGATTAAAAGTCCGCCAAGAAGCCCTGATATTAACACAAGCCCTGCAACAGCCACAGTGGAAAGTAGGGCAAGGGCTCTCAGCCTGAATTTCTCAGCTGAAAAATGAGAATAATGCACTCTGAGAGTACAGATGTACTGAGAGAGGTGAAAGTTTTTTAAAACACTTGAAAATACAAAAAGCAATGTAGACATGCAAAGTCACAGGAAAAGTATTTTTAGAAATGGGCGGTCCAGCAGATCACTAGCGATGTTAGATCTTTGCTCTCTTTTCACCAGGATAATCCAGTCTAAGGTCTTTATGGGAACAGGGGGCAACGAAGCCCTTCAGAAGTGGATTAAAAAGGCTTTTCTTTTCCTGAACAATGCAAAGATAAAATACATCCATGTTTTCATTCCATAAAAGCTGAAATTGCAAGGTAGTTTAGTTCCCATTTTATTTATATTTTTTTTGTTATATGGCACAGTGGTTTGACGTTTCCTAAATCTTGTAAGTTCATTTTTTTAGTACCTCTATTTAGCTGAGTGGTTGAAATATTAAGAAATTGATTTAATTTGTTTTTATCATTGATTTTTTTTTCTTCCTTTTACATACCCATCTGAAAATATTTAGAGAAACTCTTATTTATCAGGTAGCTCAACAAGTAGGCATACATTAAACACTGTTTTTGTACCAAACCTAGTTATACTGATACCAAATGGGCTGCACTACAATCAAGTGTTTTCAGGCAAACAAATTCCTTCTCTTCAGCTCACCTCCCACTTATCTATCACACGAGTATATCCTGCCCTCTGTTCTGAACGGTGAAAAGGAATTTATGAAACTAGTACATTAGGACCACGTTTGCCTTTTAAGCCAAGAGAAAAACTGGAGTTTTAGCTGTACAGAACTAAGTATTCCCTCCAACTTGTACATGATGCACCTGTATTAATTTATGCAGCTGTTTAGTTACAAGTGTTGCAAGCTGATTGTAAGTCATCAGTATGTGCCTTGTACTGTAAACTGTTATTGTAATAAATTTAATATTCATAATCCATCTGTAGACATCTCTCGTGCCTCTCTCTTATGGGAAGAGCAAAGATAAAACTCAGTTCCAAGAAAAAGCAGAGTGTCTAGTCCAGTTTACTATACCAACAAGACCTCTTTGACAAAAAAGCAGAGGATTTCCTTTCGTGTTTGAACCTTGGCCAATGCTAAATACTCTTTCATTCTATTACAACAGAACAACCAATGCACATTACATTTGTTTACACAGAACAGCAAAACCAAACTGATCCACACCTGGAGTAAGGGCTTAGCTACTCAATTAGCTTACATATAAAACTCATTCGGTTTCAACTCTTTGTAACTGGGAGGCTTGGCATTTAATTTTACTCACATTTTGCCTCGTTATGAAGTTTGCTGAACAAAATACTGGAGAAACATCAACCTCAAAATCTTTTTTTTTTTTTTTTTACATTAATTCACCTTCCTGTAGTATAAAAGTGATAAATCACAAAACAAAGTGAAAGAAACCACCGTGAAAAGTGTTGGATAATTATTATAAGAACCACAACCACTGTCAGATATCCTACATACCAAGTTATAGTTTAGAGATAACTTTATTCTTGATTACGAACCTTTGAAGAGATTGACTGACAAATCTAAACTATTACCTCCAGTAGAAAAAGCTGATATGACCGTAATACATGAAAAAAGACTTGTACCTTATTTCACACAGAAAAAACATGCAGTAAAATAACACAAGCATTAAAAAGGACCCATGTATTAAATCCAGTATTTATCTTACACTTTATTTAAGTGTTTCTATATATTACGTCCCCAAACCCAAAGCCCACACATAAATACAAAATTCGTATGTCAATATGCATTTAGCTTACAAAATGCCATACTACGTACAGAAATCTCCTAGATTATTATTCAGGCTGTTTTTTTGCCTTTTTCCTACTTTCACAGGTCTGCTTCTCATTTTTGAGGGCATCAGTGGGCAACGATGACTCCTGCTAAGGGCTAAGAACACCTTTGTTTCAGCAGTGCTCACTGTTTCAGCTGGTGGAAGGAGTAGGGGCTGCCGGGGGAAGTATTCTCTCCTTATGTTATTTAACACTCCTAGGTCTGCCCCGGAATCTCCGAGTACCTAGGATAGGGTACTGAAGGCCAGGGTGGACAGAGTCAGCCAAATTTAATATTTCAACTGTATAAATAGACTAAGGGTGTGTATCAACTGATCCATTAATCCATTTCAAAAGTTGTTCTTCTATTACGGCACACACAATTTCTTAAATTAAAGCCAGGAATAAATAGCTAGGATCCACTTTTACTTCTGTACAAGAGTCCACGCAGCAGTGGCTTTTGCTCCCGGTTGAGAGATCAAGTGTTTTTGTCCACCACAGGGACATTAATCTTCTTCCTTCTCAATGTAAGATTTAGTACTGACACGTGCCATTTGCCTTGCCAAATAGCGGTCCCTGGCTGACATGACTGTCTCTTCATTGCTCCGTTTGGCAAATTTGCTCATGCTCTCAGGTGGTTTCTGTGCTTGTTCTTTCTCCTCTTTCTCCCCTTCTTCTCCAGCTTTACGTTTCTGCTCGGACAAAATTCCAGAGTTGGATCGTCCCTTCTCATCCACCCCTCTCTCTTTTCCCTTTCTCTCTTTTTCCAGATCATTCTCTCCATCTTTTTCTAAAGATGTAGTAGAACTTTCCCTCCTCTCTCTATATCTCTTTTCATCACTACCATATTTCTCTCTCCTCTCCTTCACATGATCTTCCTTTTCTCTGCATTTCTCTCCTCTCTCCTTCTCTCTGTCATTATATCTATCTTTACCGTTTCTTATTCTGTCTTTCTCTCGTTCCTTTTCTGAGCCCTTCTCTTCTCTCTCCTTTGCCTTCCTCCATTCTCTGCCATGTCCCTCCCTCTCTTTTCTTTCCTTCCCCCTTTGTTTATCATCTTGCTCTTCCCTCCTTCTGTAGTTATCTTTATTACTGTGATCCCCGTATCTACGTCGCTCTTCCTTTTCCCTTTGGTGATCCTTTTCGTGGGTCCGACTTCTCTCATAATCTTTTTCCCTGTATTGCTCATCATTTCCCCTTCTGCTTGGTCTGCTCTCTCCCCTCTTTGTAAGATGACTTGTCGGGGCTTTTGTGTGCAGCTCTTCCTCCACACTGGATGAGCTTGGTGACCTGGAACGCCTCTGGCTCTTGTGAAGTTTAGCCTCCTCTTCACTGCTCACAGAGCTCGCTCTCCTTTTCTTTTTCAAATTTACTTTACTACTTTTGTGTCTCTTATCATCATCACTACTATCAGTTCCCAAGTCGGTATCAGCGTCCGGATTGTTCTCCTTCTTAACGGAGGGCTTCAGTCTTTGTGTTTCATATGGGCATTTGGTCCTTTGGTTGGATTCATCGTAACTGTCAGATTTTTCTTCCTTTATCCTACAGTTTTTATGTTAGAAAAAGAAAAAACAACATTACACAGCCTGAAATCTCAGACTTTTTTTACAAAATGACTTCTGGTCAGGACTTAAGCAAAAGATGCTGCTGAGAAGTCTAAGAAAACAAATCTATCTGTAGCTCAGGTTCCAGGAATCCAGCGCAACGGAATTCTATTAAGTATCTGTCTCTGGTTCATTGGTGAATGCGAGCTGATGAATTTAACAAAAAATGACTATAGTTAAGTATCTGTAGCCTCCAGCTAAGCAAAAAGACATAGGTTTGTATTCTTGTGTAAGCTTTTCGGCAAGCTACACATTTTTTCCTTTGGGTTTATTCCTCTATTCACATCAAATAATTATCCAGAGAAGCAGCAGGTTGTATGTTTTGTTGACAGAGGGAGGAACACAGCTTCCATTAGTGGTAGCAGTAGATTTTTTAAATCCAGTATTTCTGAAGATCTCGCTCTTGTGGCTAGATAGAAATCAGTATCTTTTAACTGCTCATAGATTCTTAAATACAAACAGCCGACCCACGGAGGACCAATTTGAGCAGTAGAGAATAAGTTTATGCTTGGTCATTCTCTTCTGACTGATAAAGAAATACATGTTCACTCACACAAGCCACATGTCTCTTCTTTTTAATCATACAGCTACAGTAACAGCCTGCGGTAAATTCTTATGAATCAGCACACCATTTAGTTACACTGTCTGATGCATGCTTGAAAGCATGGTTAGTCGATGAACAATAACTAAAAATTATGCTGAAAATTTTGATAATTTATTTAGTAATCCAATTAATTAAAATGACAAGTCAAAGGTGGATCCCTTTAGGGGCAAGTGATGCAAATTCTGAGATCTAAAAATCAAGCCATTTTCTCTGTATATCCTATTGTATCACCATAAGAAAGAATAAAATTAAAATATACACCTGAGCTTATTAGAAAGCCTTACTGGGAGCACCATCTACAGAACTACTTGTTCTCCATGAATTTATTTTATATACAACTCACAAAAGGAACATTTCCTTAATCTGCAAGATTTGAAATGACAGTTTCTTAATGAGCCATACACAGTACAAAACTACATATTCCTGAAGATGCTCTGAAAGAAGAACTATTACAGCAAATGGACAACCAAGTGGGCTGACCACTGCTGCTACTATTTTTGTAAAGAGATGCAAGTGAATAATTCAGATTTCATCAATAAAAGGAAGAAACCACAAAATGCAAAATTCATTTAACCACCTCAGTAGCAATCTTTGTGCATGACTGAAACCAAGCAGGTATTTCTCTTTGGTGAAAGCCTGAGACAGGACGTTTTTCCACACGCATAGGTATACTAATACTTGAAATCTCAAATGACAAACCTGTGGCCTCAAATTTCCCATTTTCTGCTTAAATTCTGGAAGCTGTTCTGCTTTTCTTCCAGTCAGTAATTCTTACTTCCTACTTCTTTTACACTACTTTTCCCTATTTATTTCCAATAAGGCAGTATATACTTACACTGAAGATATAATCGAGAATTCCCTTGTTTCAGATAGCTGAGCAACTTCACTGTGATCACTTTCTTCATTTAAGCTAAGAATTTACTTTCTAATAATCCAATCTCATATCTAGAAGATCTCTTGAGGAAAGCTGCAGTTTCCTTGTGATGGCAAGCGTTTAACTAGTGACATCCAAGTTTAAGGCCCATCTCAAGTGAGGTTTAACCTGAATTATTTTTTTCAAATGACCAGCTGTTGGACATAAGAAACACATCCCTTTCACTACATTTATCCACAGGGCAGAATTTCACCATCTCAACTACATAAATAATTCGGCCTCATGTCATTACTTTGCTTTGGAATGTGCATATATGAAGATTTGAAAATACTCCCACCGGATTTCCTACACATTTGATTAATTTCCTTTAACCACAGCATCAACACTCAATTAATTTATTTTTTATGAACCTGTAAATGTGGAATAAGTACAAAGTTCAAGACTCACGTTCTTTTCAGGAAATTCGTATCACAACATAATTTCCTATGACTTACCTCTATGCACATTATTTTACCTTTTGTCTCCCTCATGATTCAAAATATGTAACTTAACGCAGATTGCCAAATATTATGTAAACCAAAGTAAATATAGGTTAGAATAATACCAAGCAGTATTACAAGTACGGCTGTCATCTTGATACTTTTTAAACAGCATCCCTCTCCTGCTTGTTTGTCTTGTAGTCTGTACTACTGATGATCATTAGACATCTTCCAAATAATTCAGTTAATCAGCTGTATAAAGTAATCAGTTTACCCTACCAGTGTTTTAGTACTCTCTGTCTAATTCTTACAGTGCTCAAATGAGTGGAATAACAAACAGCCAGAAGCTGGTTTATATCTGAACGCCTTCTGGAATCGCATCCTACCTGGCTTCACGGAAGCTGCATTTAGGCGTCTCTTCTTCCCCTACCCTCTGGTTTAAAAGATGTCTATAAAATCCACTGAGGTCCTTCTGTTTGGTCACATCCAGGTATGCTAAGAGAAAGAAAGTAAGGTTGCATTTACTGTGCCACAAATACTCATCAGACACAACTCATAATTGGTAGACTGCCATCTCCATCTTGGAGGTTTTCAAGTCCAGAGTGGAAAAAGCTGAGAGCAACCTGATTTGACCTCATGACCTCACTTTGAGCAGGAGGCTGGAACAGAAGACCTTCCAAGGTCCACTCCAACCTGATTTATCTTATGATCCTACATCGTATTCTTTACACCTATTCCTGGGACACTGTACAGAATGTCTGACGTAACGCGTGTAAGCATCATTGTACCCCAGGCTTACAAGTCTTCCTTCAACAACTGACCCTTCCTCAAAGACTAAAAGTAGCAACACAAATAGTACTGACACACAGAGGAGCTTCCTCTGTTCCTTTAGTAACATGCACAAAGGAAAATAAGAGACGAGTGGGATCTGATTCAGTATCTGTTATCTGGTCCTTTTTGATTTCAATTATCTCAAGCCTCACAGACAGACCAGATGACAATGTTGTAAATCATGTACCCATACTTCTTTTCAAGGGGAATTATTTCAGTGTGAATCTCACCCTCGAGAGCTGCCTCTCTTCTTTCTCTTTCCTCCTCCTCAGCCCTTTCTTGCAGCTTCTTCTTATAGGCTGAAGTCACAAAGGCCTCTTTGTGAGCAAACTCTCCTCCTTCCATTTCACGTTCTTTCTGAATTTTTCTTTCCATTCTTTTCTCTTGCTCCTTCTTTCTAATCTCAGCTGCTTTGAGGATGTTTTGGATGTATCTGGGCTAAAACGGGAGGGGAAAAAAGGTGCAATGTTGAGAGATAATGAAGGTGGCTGAGAAAACACGAACTAGGATTGCTGGAGATGCTGAAGAAAGGTGGTAATGGAAGAAAATTGACAGAAGCTAGGCTAACATACTCTCACACTGTTTGACAGCTATCTGAAATAAAGTGTCATTCCCTTTTAGCACGCTTCCCAGTAACAAAAGAGGTTGCTGTATTCAATCAAAACATTCAGCCCATCTTTGACTAGGATGGTTTTTGCTCTGAGTGAAATTAAATGTTTTTTCATTTCTCACCCCTTTGTCTCCTGTCTTGTAAGAGCCTTGCCTTTCTATTGCTGCAGAGGAGTGGGAAGCTTCCTTTTATACCCACATAACCTGACAAGAACTTTCAAATGAAATAGAGTAAGTAACAATGAAAATACCAATTGTCAGGATAATTCAGAAATGGTCTGAAACAAGGCATTAGGCTGGGGAAACTGGTTCCCATTTTACCAATGAAAGTTAATTACTTCGTTCTTCCAATAGCCCCCCAGCACACTAGTCAGTGAGGAGGGACTATTTATGCTTGTTGGCTTAATAATGACAGAGTCTTTACTATCAGAAGTAGTATTGTTCTCTCTGATCCTATTATCCCATTGTAACATTCTCTTCAGAAATACATGGGAAGTTATGCTATATGTACATCATAAATTGGGTGGGAAAGTCGTAGTCTGCAGCCCTCCAGAACTCCACTGGATCAGGACTCTGAAATACCCGATGAACTATCAGTTTTCCCAAAATTCTTGCAAATTACTACTATGTAACAGGACTTGAACACAATACTTGTATGCCCCATGAGAAAATGCATTTGGCAAAGCTTCAAAGTTTAGCAGAGTTATTCCAAGCATACAGAGATAAGACAGACAGCATACATTTTCAGGTATCGACCTTTTTGTCATCTGTTCCGGATAACACTCTGGCATTACTTTCTTTCTTCTTCTGCTGCATTTCATCATAAATACTGTCATATTCATACACTGTAGCATCTTCTTCCAAAGCCTTCTGAATCTCTAATTTAGTCTAAAAGAAAAAAGGGAGACGATACCAAAAAATGAAGCATGAAATGTTTTACTATTTTCAAACATTTTATTCCTACATTGTAATTTAAACAGATCTATAGTATAAACCTATCCATTGGAACACTGAGTGTAAATTAAAAACAATATTCTACAAAGTTCTTGAACTGTTTACCAGGATTGAGAAGACAAACAACCAAATCATGACCAGTAATTGCAGTTATAGGAAATACAGGAAGCAAAGCACCACAGTCAAAACAATAATGGAAACTTCTTAATAAGCAAACTGGTCCATCAAGTAATATATTTCATTTTTTTTTAATAGACAGTAAACAACATCTCAATAATCTTTACTGTCTGTTTTCATCTATAGTTTATCCCCCTTCCCCAAGGCCTCGAATAATAAATATGTACCAATATAATTCAGGATATGATTCCATATTTCACAGTTCTATCTTCTGCTTGTACAGTCAAGTTGGAAGGAAGAACTGTGAAACCGTTCAGTTTTTAAAAGCCCTATCAGGAAAAAAACCCAACTACTAGGGGAGCCCTTAGGTCAGATCTGATCAGGAATGCTGAACAGCAACCATACAAGCTTCTCTCAAGCACATATTACTGCCATCAAAACACAGCAATGTGTTAAATGTATGATGCATAAATATCTTTTTCTTCCAGCTATGTCTTTTATTGGTCTGGAACTTTTTTAAATGTAAAATTTGTGTTTCCTCTGTACAATTTATTCCTCGATTACAGTAAAAAGTTCACTGTTGGTATATATTTTAATATTTAAAAACCCAATACTTTGTAACATTCCATTCTACAAATGAAACAAACTGTTTCAGAAATTCTAAAACCATCAACGCATTCTATGTCACAAAACAAACTCCAACATCTTGTGTATTTAAGTGGTTGCATTGAGTAAACAGAAATTTTATTGTGTTTTATATTACGACCAGCTGTGTGTTAAACCTCACTCATGCAGCTTTCATTGGGCAGCTTTTCAGCTACTCTTGATCACAGCCAGAAGAATTTCAAAAAGAACAATCTTGCCCAAAAGAGTGAAACAAAATCTTTGCTAGAGGAAAGGCTCTGAGAATTTCAAGCCAAGTTTTAAGCAGCTCTTGCAAAGAGCAATGCACAAAATCATAAAATTATGTGGAATTTTTTTAAAGGGAAATGCTAACTCGGAAGTAGCACAATTATGTTTCTGCCATTATTTAATAAAAGGGAATGGATGCAGTAACTTCCTAATTTGCCATAGGCACGAAGAGTCCCCACTGCATCTTACCTGTTTCATTGCTTGTTTTTTCAGTGCTTCTTTCTGAAGGCTTTCACCAACAGATGGCTGTAAGAAGGAAACATTGCAGATATAAAATTAATTACACTGACACCATTCTACCATTCTAACAAACAACTATATAATAGTCCCATTACATAAGTCAGTCTCTCACTTCAATAGTATTTTTCTGAAAGCAAGAAAAAAGTAAGTTCATTCATAAGTGTACAACAAATCAGCCTTTTTATTGAGCAAAGTATTGCAGTACCCGAATATATATATTTTTTTATTAAAATAGTAATGAGTTTAAGAACACTATTTCAATGACGTGTACCTCAAAAGCTGCATAAAATTTCATGCCATTTCACAAAACAAGTAATCTCTGTCCAAGAAATGTTCAGAGACATAGGACGTCTGTGAAAACTGTTCATTTGCAATGACATCCTCCAACCACTGCCAAAAAAATGGTAGAAAAGACAGACCCCTCCACTACGGCAAGGGTCAGTCTGTTGGTGCAAGAAGCTAGCACATCAGCAGGCAAAACAGCTAGCAAAGGACAGCTACAGGCAGTACTGAAACAAATTCCTAAGAGAAGGATGTTTGTAATACATCTGCTCACTCCCAGACACTACAATTATTTCAGGGTTTGCCATTAAGAAAAAAAGTAAAACACAGAAAACAAACCCCTAGATCATGAGAAATTGGAATATAACCTCCTACCAATTTATATATCAAAAACTTTTTAATGTTCTTGGCAATTATATATTTGTGAATAAAGAAGGGTAAACATTCTCAATTATTTCTTTTATTATATTTCTAACAGTCTGTGACATAGATAGGTGCTATTCAGAACATACATACTCTTCTTCCAGAATGTGAATGTCATCAGAGATGTAGCAGTCACAAGCAGACATTCTCACTGACAATCACATGAAAAAATTGTATTCATAGTGAAAAACAAATATCTAAAAGGATCTGGCACTTCTTTCAAGTTTTATCTGTATCATTAGTTCTGTATTTTTAGAAATAAGAATACTGCTGATTTGAACGGCATGTATTTCAAACGTTAATTTCTCAAGATTAATATGATAGAAAACAGCAATACTGATCTTCCCTAAGAAAGGACATAGCCACTACTGAAAGCATGTTTTCTAATCATGCTGTCTTTTTAAAAAAAAGCTCTGCGTTTTATTTAGTTTTGTCTCTTAATTAGTGTTGAACTAAACTGCCTATCTTTTCTCAACTAATAGATAATACTGTTTATTAAACAGATTCCCTATAAACGACAGGACTCATATCCTTGTTTATGTAATTAAATATCTCTTAATCTTAAAAAGCAGAAATAGGAAGGAAAAACCCTTTTGCATTTTGGCAGCTTCCCAAGTTTTGCAACTTTGACTAATGCATCCTCTAGATCACATTTAAAAAAAACAGAGATTGTTTAATCAGGTCTTAATAAAAAGTGGAAACCAACTAGCAGGGAGCTTGGCAGCAAGGACTAGGATCTTCTGAAATCAAACAGAATTAGCACCATGTAAATTCAAACAAATCCCCTGAATAAGAAGGCTTTTGATTTCATCTGATGTTTAAAATAAAATAATAACACATCATGACCCCTCTTTCTTATGCTATTAAAATTTTAACAGATGTGTCAACAAGGAAAAAAAGCAAGTGCTTTTCCACAATTTTCTACATGACAGACTGTAATCAGTCCAAATATTTTTTCACTGGTTAATTTCAAAAACAGAGAACAAGTTGTGCCATGAGCGGCAGAATTAATGGAGTTTCATTATGTGACTTTGTGCCCTCTGCCTCTTTATTTCCCCTACCGCCTCCTCGCACACGCTGCCTGCTTGAACAGGCAGCTGGGCAGCACTGAGTGCGACCAAAAGCCAGCCCTGTGCTGAGCACTCAGTCAACGCCTCCTCCTCAACACAGAGGAACAGTAAACTCACAAATTCCCATCTATGTCTGTCCCTTTACCCCACTGTCAATTTCCACGAAGACCAGAGGAAGGCAGTGTCTTTGGGACCTCTGCCACCCAGCAAGACCGGTTAAGATTGTTGGGGAGTTCCCAAGTCGCATGGGACTAACTAGCAGGTATACACAGTGATCACCTGTCAAGAGACTTTTTTCTGCTATGCAAACCATAAATAATAAAAAAAAATTGCACGCTTCTCACTAGCTTTTAAATAAATTTTAAAAAGGCCAGAAAAATAGTATGTCAGCGGACTACCAAGTAATTCTAAACTCAGCCAGTGAAGGTGCTAAGGCAACACTGCCAATATTTGGAGAAGTACATACGGTACCACGTAACAGCATCCGCTGAATTGTAGTCAGACCTTTGCTCGCTGTCCATTAACATGCCAGGACTTACTTTCGTAAGTGATACCACAATCAGAAAAAACTGAGACACAGAATATTCAAAATATTCCTTCCTAGCCCACTCCAAGTGAGGGACTTGGAGAAAAGTCCCAAGTGAGAAAAGTAAAAATTGGAACTGGAAAGGGCACATATTCCAACTTCTGGTGCCTTAATCACTACGTGCAGACGTAGATAAAATCCATCTCTGCTTTCAAAACGTTAAACTTTGTGGTTAAACTACAGTAACAGAAGGAAAGCGTGATGTGCACTTTCACAGAAGAAAACCCCTGCACTGGTTCAGTTCTGCTCCTCTCTCTTACCCAGCTGCAGATAAGCAGGTAAGGAAGCAGACCCCGCTTCAGGCTCTAGGAATCTGAGCTTGGCAGACACTAGCAGCGCACTCACACAGAGACCACTGTGGTATCAGGGACTACACCCTGTATACTGCAGCCTGCTGATTATTTGGACTAGAATTGGATATAGTCTCTAGTTTATTTATGTAGCTGGTTGGCTGGTGGACTGGGGGAAGTGGATAGCGGATTCTTTAATTTAAAACAATCTACAAGAACCCTGGCTTCATTCATCTAGTATTTACCTCTGGCTTTCAAGATTGAAGAGCTGATGTTGAGCAATAGTTAAAATACTGTACTTAATTTTTATGTCATATGCTTTCTTCTAAAAAATGCTAGAAATGATTCATTATAAACTTCTTAATATAAACAACTATTTTAAATTGGCAGTGGAACACACACCAGCATTACACAGAAAACCAAGACTTCCTCCCGGCTCCTGGGGAAGAAGATGGTTCTCTGCTTGACATATTAAGGGTCATCACTGAAGGTTTCCTTTAGCGGACACTCTTACACTGGTTTCACAGAAGGGTACTTAAACAGTAAGGAATCTCCCCTGCATTACTGCAGAAAGCAAGGGCTTAGTAAAAGACAAAACAGATGCTGCGGTTATATTTACAGAATAAGCTTTATTCCACCCTAATATTTGAAACACCGCTTAGAATGTTTCCCTTGTCTGCCTACATGAAAGAAACATGTTGATCTACAAATATTACATAAACACAAAAGTAATAGATAATCCTCCTTATTGTACATATAATTGTAAAGAAGTCCACCTGTGATTTGTTTGTCTAGAGTGGCAGAGAGCTTACAAAAAACAAACACCTTCCCTAAAGGTTTATGGTTGACAATTTCCTGTTGTGCTATGAGCTCTGATAGATGAGAACTTCCCGTTCTTTTGTATTGTTTTTACTTATCAACTGCCCATTTATTAAAGGCCCTATAAGCTCAGCAATCAGTCTCGTACTTTCTCTTTTCCTGCAGTCAAGCTATTCTTCTGAAGCACAAAGCTTATAGTTTAATATTTTCTGCAAGCAGAAAATGCTTTAACCCTATCCTGTGAAACTACATGGAATCCATGCAAATCAAGAAACTCTTAGAAATGAGACTCCACAGTCTACCAGCCCTATGAGACCATGGAAGATGGCTTGTGCACAATGGAAAACATTAAAAAAAAAAAGACAGAAAAAAAGAAAAAAGGGAGTAATAAAAGAAATCACCCCAATCCACTAACATTCTCACTGTTCTCTCCCATTTCGTATCTCCTTCAGGTATCTATAAACTTCTTTCAGGTTCATGAGTGCTTGAGCTACCTCCTTATTTTTATCCTGCAGGTAAGTACCTCTTTTAAGTTACTTCTTAAAATGCCTTCTTTATATCACTCCTACACAACCAAAGAAGAACAGACATTCAAACTACTGACTGATGTTGTTGGTTTGTCTCAGCTATGTTCAAATAATGACAGAGCATGTAAAAAATTTACAGCTTTATACAAAAAGCTCAATTCAAAGTTCAAAGGCAAATACCTAGAAAGCCAATACCACAACTAAGACAACTAAAACAAGTCTTAGTCTGTGATTAGTATCATTTTCAGTGTTGAAGTTGGTTTCTAGGAAGTTACAATCTTAAATCTGAAGCTGAGAATGTCTTGTAAAAAATGTCACAACTATTTTAATAGATGGTCTCAAAGTATATGCAAGATGCCCGACTTGTTTTTCCCCACACAGAAGAAATACAAGACCAACAAATTCTGACAGAATAGCTATGAATGGAGTATCTCTCATTAGCTGCATAGCCTGCCTCCGAAGGAAAAGCATTTGTGGTTGCCGCCAAAACCCCAGGCACGGCACTTACTGATAGGCAATGTAAGACATCCCTCCATTCCTTTTATAAAGCCAAAAGATGCTTCTGCTGTAATAAAAACTGTTGTGAAAGACCCTTGAGCGGGCTTTGCCCTTTAGCATTGCCCTTTGAATTCTCTACATGCTGCTCTGCAGTAGACAGGCACAACAAATTACCTTTGTTGCAAGTGAAATACATTTTAAAGGGAAATGAAATGCTTCACTGACGTCAGGCAGATTATATGCAGTTTGATTTTAATCTCTCACTACAACCATCTAGTTTTAACTGGATGCGCAGAAAAATATTTGACGAAACAGCACCAGCAGGATAATTTGGAGCTCTATTTGATCAGCAAGTGAAAGAAGCAGAGACAGACTAGTTCACAAAATGCAGAGCTTATGTTTATCCTGAGCTAGCCAGTCCAAGAGCGCTTTATTGTGAAAGAGTGAGAAACGGACACTTTCAGAGCAAAATTCATCTCACTTAATGTAGGTTTCTACTTTAGAAAGAGGTAAGTTGTGCCCCAGAAGTACGTGCATCCCTACTGACTGTACAGGGAGCTCAGGGAACTCAAGTGCAGATACCTGCACGTGTTTCTATGCATCTCGCCCTGAGTTTGTGGCCCTATGTGGTTAAATCACAGAGAAGCTGAGATGCAACTCCACTCACTTCATTCTCCTCACATCAGATAAGGAATCTCAGACTATGAGATCTTTGGATTTGTGACACTTTGTTATGAAAACATCTTAAAATCCACTACTTATACTCTCAGGCATACGTATTTCGAAGTGATTCATTAAGGCCTGCCCTCATAGAGACCTGTATCATCTGACCACATCCTGCACATGGATGATCACTAAATGTAAATGAGACTCCAAACTTCACGGGAGAAAAAAAAAAAAAATCAAGTCAGGCAACAGATTCATCTCAATTCCTACACTATACGAGTGATGGCTACTAGCAGAAGATTAAGAATATGGAAAACAAGTCACGTACAGAATTAGCTTTCCTCGGTGTTCCCTCCTGGCTTCCAGAAACCATGAGGTTATGGACTTCCTGAACTGGAGGATGCACCTGGACCATTGTTTGACACCAAGAGCATCCCTTAATTTGACTAATCCATTTCTGAATCCATTTATATTTTTGGCGATGCCACAATATCCTGTGGCAATGAGTTCCACAACTTAATTATACATTGTGTGGAGAAAAAAAAAAACAACTTCCTTTTGTTTAGATTAAAGCAGTTACTTGGTAATTCCGTAATGTACCCTACTGTTCCCATTATGAGAAAGGGCAAAATCACTTTACTTTCTCCGAATCACTCTTGATATTACAGACAACTTCTTGAGTTATTCCTCTCCACTTCCTTCTCCTCAGTAATCTGTTTTCTAAAAGCCCCTTTAGCCTATCGAATCTTATTTTGCAAGAAAACTGTTGCGGAAACTCTCATCACCATCAATACTCACTACTTCGCCAATCTTTTTTTTAAGTCATACTGTATCCTTTGCAAAGTTGCAAAGTGAATGGAAGGATCTGTAAACAAACCCAAAAATCTGAGACTAAAACAGTTTTTTACAGTTTTCTTTCTGTTTTCAGTTTCTTCCTTTGTGCCTGCTTAAACATTCGATTTATCCTTTAGATGGTCACTGAAAAAAAAACACTAAATCAAGCTGACACATTCACAGAACTATCCACACTGACTCCACGATCTCTCTCTCCTGAATTTAGCACCTACTGGTCTATGTACAGTTATTTTTTCAGTTACATTTTATATCCTGTAGCAACAAACCAGTTTTGAAAGGCTGGTAAGGTACAGGAATGTATGTTGGGTAATTCTGATACAATCAAGAAACAGAAATTCTACCTGCTGTACCACAGAGAGATTTTCAACAGAATTCCAAAGATAAAACAGAACATGGAACAGTGAACTGGCAATACTGACAAGCCACCTCTGAAAACACAATGCATGAATAAGGGATTAATGGTTTTGGAGAAAATGGATATATCAGAAATAACAGCCAGAATGGGAATGTATTTCTAAATTATCATAGTTTGTCACATAGTTTGTCACCCACTCTCTACAACAGGCATTCCTCTGTGTAACAACCTTCCCCCCAGTTTTTAAAGCAACAATTCCTCATTATGAAGGCAAATAATTCAGAACTGTATTGGCTAGAAGTCACTGTAATCGCCTGGTTTACTTTTTCCCAGTCACCATTGTATTTCAAGAAAATTTCCATCCCCAATGTTCTGTTTCTTATGAACTAAACCAAAGACCATCTTCGTCAGCAACTAATATCCATTATTGTACTTAGCCACAGCAAAAAAAACCTTTCAAATTCCTTTAGCAAAGGTACAGGGAAAATCTTACTGAAATATGCATAGTAACATTTAAAAAAAAAGGGAGCAGAAGTTTGGTATCTAATATATAATCACAGACCAAGTCAGGTGTGCAGATTTCCCAGCACAAACTTTATTAGAGTTCAGTTAAAAATACATAATCTCCAGACATTTGAGATGTAGTTCTGACTGATAAGGTAGCAGACAGGAAATGAAACCCCTCCCAAATGCTGCTCCTTATCTTGAAAAGCTCTGAAATTATTATTGAACTAATAAAGTAATTTTGCTTTTTTTTTTGAAATGATCTTCTTTGATAAAGGCAGTTGTGAGATTATTACTTTTTGCTGGGCATGTACCATACTGATGAGCATGACAACTTCTAAGAGTGTTTATAGCAGACTCTGGTAGCGAATCTGTCAGCCCTTCCGAAAGGAAGGGTACCTGATCTGTTAAACTAAAAGTTAGTAGACAGTATCATACCTTATTATTATTGGAATTATTAGCATTCGTTATTTTGCTTTAATGTTTAGATACTGAAAGAAAATAAGAAGTGAAAAAACACAAGAAAGCCCCATACTCAAGAAAGTTCCCAGTCCTACCACGCAATGTTTAATGACAACAGATTAACTCAAGCTCATTTTTGGGATCTGGAAAGTGTGAGGTCAGTCCCTTAATGTAGAGAAAGACACCGAATCCCAAACTAACAGGGAAAGCGCTCCTGCCATTGAGGACAGGAGATCCACTGTCATCTCCATTAGCTGTATTTAAAGGGAAGCCTCTCTTTAGAGACACGGTGCCAGCTACGACCTCAAGTGGAGGGACACACCTGAGAGAGCTGAGGAAAGCAGCTAAGTGAGGAGAGATGGGATTTAAGGCCTGTTCCTTTCCTCTGTGCTTCCTGCAAGTCCTATAAGCTGGAGTGAGGCAGTTACATGTTGAGGGTTGAGCGGATATCACTAGGAAGGCCCTCGGCCCTTTCACACCGTGTATAAAGGGAGCTCCGACACCTTCAACAGCAGCATTCTGGATCCTGTAACGGAACCAGGCACACAGAAGCTGGGAATTGCTAGATTCAGACTTTCTGTGACATAAAAATAACGACTGCTAGTTCATTAAACAACATTTTTAAAAAATATATATTTTGATAATAAGAGTTAGACACTGACAAAGATTATTTGAGACTTCATAAGCAGTGGTTTTTTCAACCACACAAAAAAAGTGAGCACTGTGTGAAGCTCCAGAGCAGCAAGAACATTTCTGTAACACAGATTTGGTTTCTAAATTTCAACTGATTTTAAGTTTCAACTTCTTAAATGTTAAAATTCTAGACTATGGGTATATGTAAAGTTTATTTTCTGGGGTTTGTGGAAAAAAGTTAAATATGCACATAATGACATCATGATGAAATTATCACAAGCAATTCCAGATTGATATAACCCATCCATGTGGAAAGTTCACCTCCACAATTCTGAGTTTCTATTCTTCACCTGTGAACTATCAAGGCTTTAAAACCCACAAAAATTCTGTTTTAGAAGTTAGGTTTCTGTAAGGTATCCAAACTAGCCTATATACCACACCAGCTCTTGGATGTCCCCCATACTCATAGCAGTACATTCAGAAGTGTAATTTTTCTAGTGTACAGCACCCTCTACTGGGGCAGATAGAAAGCTAATATTTTGAAGGTAATACTTCAAAAAAAATATTAAAAATTAAAAGAGAATATAGAAAAGAACATGAGCAACTTCATGCAATATAGTCATACATCACAGAGCATCAATCAACTGATAAGTGTTGTGAGTACCTCCAGAACTACAAGTAATTCTCATTACCTGCCTTTTTTTTTTTTTTTTTTTGCTTTAGAGCTTTTGGTTTGTACGCTTTTGCTTTTGTTTACAGTAAGTCTGAACATCATACATCAGTTAGATCAAATTTGGGTTGAATGAGCTAAAGGATAAAATACACCTAACAAGTAGACTTTAAAGTTAGTATCTGAGAAATGACTGTTGATTACTGCCACCTTTTTATGGTGCAGTCTGTATAGTATGACTGCAGTCATACTAACCAGTGGTAGCCAACAAATTTCTTTACAAGCTAGATACTGTTAACACTTGCAAACAGGTTGCCACATAATGAACTTTTGGAAGAGCTGACAGAAAGCAACTCACAATCAAATCATCACTTCCACGTAACTTGCACTAAAGAAAGCACAGATTGTATTTCACACCCAAATCCCAAATGATGATTTGTATCTTAGTGACACTGCCATAAGGTGTTGCAGGCATTAAGGGCTGTAAACAAATAATTCACAGAATATGGGACAAATTTCAGAAGAAAGGTGTTGAACTGACCTCTTCATCAGAGTCATCTGCAAACACTGAGAGTTTCTTCGAAATGAGATTTTTCTGCGGCAATTTTTTGGGCATAATGAGCCCATATCTAGGGAAAAGATTAAAAGTTACCTTTAACATTACTTACAACAAAACACATAGCACGATCCAAAACAAAAATCGACCATTCACAATTTTAGAAACAAAAGATCAGTGTCAACCTAACCTATCACGTATAGATCTGAGCAGCACCTGCAGCAGTGCACTCAGCCTTGCCACACACTTGCCAGCTCCTCCCACAGCTATTGCTGTCTTTTTCTGTGCAAAGTTTCTGGATGCAATGACCTTCCTAAATTAGGCCACAAATTCCTCTCATCCAGAGTTCTCGAAATGTTTTTCTTTTTTTTTTTTTTTTTCCTCCAGCGGAGAAGTAAGAAGTTACTACTGTTTAACCTTAGTCTTAGTCTACACTAGACACTATTCCGTAACTACATTTGCAGTAAGTTCACCTATTTGGCATGGCAACATAAACCACCTGCACACAGATACAGCAAAACACGACATTTACAGTCAGCTTATGTCATGCAGAGAGACTGATGCACTACACACTCTTCTGCTGACACAGCCCATCTCTGTGCTCAGAAACACCTCCTGTGTTTTCCGTAAGAATCTCTAAATCAGGAATTTCTCCCCCACCTGCCTTTCCCCGAGTCCATCACTGAGTAAGTAGCTCATCACAGCCTGTGGCGTTGTGCTGGAGACTTCCCCGACGCCGCAGGTCCTACAGCTCCTACACCACCATTATGACGGACTATTCGTCTCCGTGTGCTCCCAACCCGCTCCCTCCCCCCCGGCCGCGGGGGCAGCCGAGCAGCGAAGGCCGCGCTGGGCCCTCTCAGGCCGATGTGGAGGGGCTGACGGCGGCTGCTGCCGAGCAGGCTGTGAGGGAATCCCGAGGAGATTCTACTCCCT